GTGTTTTCAAGTCCCTTAAGATTTCCTAACCCAGGATACTAACGTGCTTATATTCTGAATAGGATATTCAAAGTTTAAAGAGCTTCCCCGCAAGATATTTAAAAGGTTTCTAGGTGTTACAAGGAGTTTTCCGGGGAGGTGGCAGGGGGTGGTAGTTCGATTTTGTGGGGCAGTTCAATGAACCAAACCTGTTTTGATGGAAAATTACCCGTTTTTACGGATTTTCCTTAATGCCACTTGGAAGCCGTGAAGAGCGATGGGAAATACGCAAACGAATACTGAAGAAAATTGAATTTAGGGTATATTATAGAGCTCACAACGAGCGAAAAAGCAAAAGTTAAAAGTTTACGTGGACGTTTGCCATATTTTGCCCCTTCTCCCTCCTACACTCTTCTGCTCTTTATCTTCTTCTTCGTTTTGTTACCACCGTTTCATTGCTCTCTTACTGTTGTTGTTGTTCTCTTGAGGCAGCAGGTTTTTATTTTACCTATTTTTAAAGCCGCTGATAATTTGTGCGGTTGATTTTTCGAAACTGACCTTAAATATATTTATTTATTTCCTTTTTTATTTATTTTTATTTTTTGTTACCACTTCGCAAGTCAAAAGTGAAAACACTCTCTTGGGAAAAAAAAATTGGAGCAGCGGTGGGAGAGAGAAAGAGACAGCAATATTTTCTTTCTCTTGGCGAAAAAGAACCATACGCAGGGTTGCAATCCGGTGTTTTTTTTGCGAATTTTGACCACACAATCGCTTTTACTAGCCATAATAAACTAAAGAAAACACTTGCCAGTTGTCTTTGTCAATTTCCTTTTATAAAAATAAAACACAGCCCAATAATACGAGAGAGAGAGAGAGTAAACACACATTCGCAGGCAGGTTGGCTACACACACACACACACAACACCTTTCCTTTTTCTCTTCTAATTAGCTTACGCTGCACAGTGACTTACACAGATCGCTTTTTTATTTACACGCACTTGGTACGGCACTGTTTTCGTCAGTACTTTACTTAAAATATTATACAAGTTACTTGTTTGCTGACGTTCCTGGGAGTTAAATAATGTAATATGGAATTTCTTCGATCCGAACGCAGCAATCAAATCAAATGCCAACTCGACTTTCGTGGCGTTACCAGACTGCCAGCAGATAGAGATGACACTAAACAGTTGGATTAATGTGACAGGTCATTCAAATAGATATGTCATTGAATCACGGAACTAGAATTGCATTTTCACTTGAACAATATTTTTCTACTTATCGCTTAAGTGTTATAAATACCTGCGTTGGGAACTAGACTTATATATATATTAAATTTATTAAAAATTTATAATTTTTGGCCAAATAATTTGTTATCTGTGCTGGTTTACTTATAAGAACAATGAGATGCTTTAAAGCAGAATCGAGTTACAGACAGTGATTCAAAATTATGAAAATATCGATAATGCCGCTGTAACAACTCGCCGAACAATCGATAGTTTACAGCTGCCCATCGCTAGCCATGCGTGCGCGTCTATCGACAGCTGATAAGTTAACGCTTGCGTATTTTGTTGATATTTGCAAGCCACGCGAGAAGAGATGCTGCGCCTACTCGTGTCCAATTGCGGCAGGAGCAGCGATTTATTTAGGTAGAGATTGGGGTCGCCATCGTAGGTGAGGCTTTCCGAGCCTCCGATGGATGTGGATCTGCAGGGGCCAGCGACTGGTTGGGGTAACAACGTCCCCCTCGCCCTCACTCCGGTTATGTCATCAATCAGCCAACCTATTATTAACCGCCCATTTCGTTTTGTTTAGTCGCCACCTGCTGCAGCCCACGCAGCAGCCACTGCCAAGCCTCCAGAATGCCGCCCGCCTGATGCGCCAGCATCTGCGTGGAACGAACGCTCCACAGCCGCCCGCGATCCCACCCACAAATGCCAGCCGCCTGCGGCACACGACACACCTGCTCGTGTGGGGCGGTGGTAGTCTGGCCATTGGCTTGGGCGCCCGTTCCTGGTGGGCGGGGCATCGCGGTGCAATAGTCCACTGCGAGGGCAGCCGGCTGGCCATTCGAAAGGAAGAGGAGGAAACTGCGTCGGAGCAGCACTTCGACTGGAAGCGTTTGTGGACCTACCTGGAGCCACATCTCTGGGAGCTGATCGGCGCCGTATGCGTGAGTTCTTGGGTCACAAGAAGAAGTTTGTCAAAATGTTTAACTTGTGTCATTTGCAGGCCGCCCTGATAGTGGCTTATATCAATATACGCATCCCAAACCTGCTCGGTGACCTGGTCAACACCCTTGCGAGATATGCCAACACGTACGTGGTGGATCCGATCAACAACTCGTTTGTGAAGGATGTGAGCAAACCGGCCGGCAATTTGCTGAGCCTTTACATGCTACAGTCTGGTTTCACCTTCATGTACATCTACCTGTTGAGCCGCGTCGGTGAGCAGATGGCGGCCAAGATGCGGCAGGATCTGTTTACGCAGATTGTGGTCCAGGACATCGCATTCTTCGATGAGAATCGGACGGGCGAGCTGGTCAATCGACTGACCGCCGATGTGCAGGACTTCAAGACCTCGTTTAAGCAGTTCGTGTCCCAGGGACTGCGAAGTGGTGCCCAGCTGATTGGCGGCAGTATATCGCTCTTCATGATTTCACCGCACATGGCCGCCATTGCGCTGGCCAGTGTTCCGTGCGTGGTCATGTTCATGTCGTATTTGGGCAAGAAACTGCGCTCGCTGAGCAAGAGTTCGCAGGCGCAGGCGGAACGAGCGACGGGTGTGTGCGAGGAGGCACTGTCCAACATCCGAACGGTTAGATCCAGTGCCTGTGAATACCGCGAGATGCAGCTGTTCGAGGCGGAGACCAATGAGGCGGCTCGCCTGGCACAGGAACTCGGCTACGGCATTGCCATCTTCCAGGGCCTGACCAACTTCTTCCTCAATACACTAGTCCTATCCACGCTCTTCATGGGCGGCCACCTCATGTCCACGGAGAGTCTGTCGCCGGGCGCTCTGATGGCCTTCCTGGTCGCCTCGCAGGGTGTGCAGCGATCCCTGGCCCAGGGATCCATTCTGCTGGGCACCATGATCAGAGGCATGACGGCCGGCAGTCGAGTCTTCGAGTTCCTCTCGCTGCAGCCACAGGTGGAACTGCTGCGCGGCTACATCATCCCACAGGAGCGGCTGCATGGCGAGATTCGTTTCGAGAACGTCTCCTTCGCATATCCCATGCGACCCGATCATGTGAGTTCTTTCTCGCAACAATGATTGAATATTACATTAATCAATGTTCTGTAATTCGTAAACTCGCACTTTTTATATAATTTCGATCAGCTTCTTATCGCTTCCGCACGTAGATAACAACTTTATAAGGCCCACAAACATTTATAGCCAAGATCTACGGCAAAGCGATAAATAGATTAGAGCCTAGCGAATACAAAAAGTAATTAACTTCCCATGTAAAGACGGATATTAGAACGTACATATACATTTATATAGCTAAACCATCAGCAATGATTGGCAATGGAAATATCCGAAATATTTTGCATTTCAACTGACTTAGACTTTTTAGTCCTAACTTTCGGATTATGACAAACAATTAATACCGTAGACCCACTAATGACACTCCCCATTTGTCCTTCTTTTACAGCTGGTGCTCAAGGACTTTAGCCTGACGCTCCGCCCGGGCCAGACGGTGGCCCTGGTAGGAGCCAGTGGATCGGGCAAGTCGACGATAGCGTCGCTGGTGGAACGCTTCTACGAGCCATCGGCGGGCAATATCAAGCTGGACGGCTACAAGCTGTCGGACATATCGCCCTATTGGCTGCGGTCCAATGTCCTCGGTTTCATCGAACAGCAACCAGTGCTGTTCGGCACATCGATATTGGAGAATATCCGATATGGCAAACCAGATGCGGGCGAGGATGATGTATTTGCGGCGGCGCGTCTGTCACAATCGCACGACTTTGTGACCGCCCTGCCCGATGGATATGCGACGCATGTGGGCGAACGGGGCACCCAGTTGAGCGGTGGTCAGCGGCAACGCATCGCCATTGCACGGGCGCTGCTTAAGAACCCGCGCATCCTCATTCTGGACGAAGCGACGAGTGCCTTGGACGCCACCAGCGAGGCGGAGGTGCAAAAGGCACTCGATACGGTGGTTAAGAATCGCACCACCTTGGTGATTGCACATCGATTGTCCACGATACGAAACGCTGACCTCATCGTTGTCCTTGATCAGGGACGCGTCGTGGAGGTAAGTTCTACTTAGCAGAATTGGGAGTGCTCGCAAATCTTCAGAAATAATAATATCTTCTATGTTTTAGACCGGCAAACATGACGAACTGATGGCCAAACGGGGCCTGTACTTTGAGCTGGTGCGTCAGCAGGAGCGGCGGAACATCCAGGAGCAGGTCCAGGCCGTGGAGGACGTGGTGGCCGTCAGGGAGCAGCAGGCAACTGCAGCAGCAACTGCGACTGCCGCAGCAACTGCAACGGCCGCTGCAACGGCGACAGCAGCGACTGTGGGCAGCAGCTTCGGTGGTGGCAGGGCAAATACAGCGCAAGGATAATGACGATATTAGGCAAATTGAATGATTCCCTGTACACTTAATTTATTAGAATGCGTTATTTTAACTTTTTTTTATTTCCAACTGACCAAATACAAAAATGGTGAGAGACGCTAACAATAAGTATACAATAAAATAAACGCTGAAGACAGTATTGTTTTTGTTATAAAAAGAAAGTATTTCATTTTCATTATCGTTAAATTCACCGGGTTCATTGAAAATAGATGGAATTCATGAACCAAAACTAAAATTGAAAAACTGAATAAAAATACTTAAAATCACCATTACCGTTAAGTTAGTTTAAATAATTTATTTAGTATGACCGCATTATTTCTGAACCCATTCTCGTATATGGTCACTCGAAGATTAAAGAAAAACTATTTTAGTATTCAGTTTTTCTAATCCTAAGTGTTAGTAATTAAAAGCTAGTTTATAATAAAAGTATTTTTAATTGAGGATGAAAAATGTATTTTAAGTTGCTAGCAGCTAGCCGATAGCTTTGGGATTTTTCAATGACAGGCCAACGGTCACACCGGCTAAATTGTATTTTATTTTGTGTGGTTTTGTTGTTGTTTTGTTTATTATGCATTTCTTTTTTATTGTTTGAGTTAGCGAGTGCGTCGCGTCGGCAATTAAATAAAATCCGCGGCATTTCGGCAATTGCGAATAATAATTGCTTGGCGGGAATTGCAGTTGAATAAGAAATAGGCGAAGAAAAACCAACAAATGTGCAATGTGCGTCAAGTCAATAGCAATACAAACGAACAATTATGTAAGTGTGTGTGTGTGTGTGTTTGTTTTAGTGTACGAATCTACCAAAAAACAATAAAATGTTAGTAAAACAAAAAAACCAGTTGTTGTTGCTGTTGGCTCTGCTAATGTCGTTGTTGTTCCCGTTCCCCCACACACATTTTCTAATGTGTGTGTGCAGCACCTGTACGTGTGTGTGTGTGTGCTTCTGCCTCCGCACAGTGGACAAATTTGTGAATGTTCAAGTTCAAAAATGCAAATTGCCCGAGTGAATTAATTGACTTAATTAACCGAAATTGGACCGCAAGTTATGATAGTCATAGCTGATTAAACGCAATTAGTTTCTAGCGGAACTAATACGACAATTAATTATATTTACTTCATTTTTTATCCGTTTACTTTGATCCATTGCAATTGGTAAACTAAGCTTGTCTTAGATAATATATTTTGGACTTCAGCCAGGATGGAGTTGGCACACCCACTCATTTCCATTCTTTTTCATAGCAAAATCACAGTGATAAAGTTGGCTTAAGTAAATGCTTGAGGGGTTGAGCAGGTGATTAAAAGCACATTAACCTCCCATGGAGCTTAGGCTGCAATTAACGCACGGCTCAAATGTGCCCACTGTGCGCGCGTGCAAGTGTGTGCGTGTGCATTCGTCATTCATTGCCCAAGCTGATGCGGGCGTAAGCGGGACGGCGAGCACAACAACTACTGTTAGCTCAGCTGAAGTGCAATTGCGATTGCAGTTGATCCAAAGAGCCGCGATTGTTGTTGCATCAACTGGAGTTTTCACGGTCAATGTTGAGATATATCCATATACATACATACATGTGCATTTATACATATGTATATATCCATGCATTATGCATGCAAATCGATGATGGAAATCGGGCGGTATAGCGAATTCCGATGGGGCAGCTGACTCAGGATCGAAGTCTTTATCACTGAACCCTAAAAACAAATGACTACCGAACTCACTTATTCTGTTTTGTTCGCTCATTTGTTTAGTACGCAAAAATATTTCAAGTTAGCTATCGCTTAAAAAATAAAGTTCAAATTGCTGCCTCAATATGTCATCATCTTTCAACATTCAATTTATTCAATAGTTTATTTATTCATTTATAGTTTTTATATGGTTTTTTTTAATGCAATTGGTTTTTGAAAATGGAACACTAAAATCAGTTAAAAATTGTAACAATCCCGACTAAAAACTATGCTGGATAATAGATAGTTGAGATATGATTAGATATCTTAATATTGATACTTCAACATCAATAGCTAATGTGTATTCAACTCGATAACTTATTTATAGACCTACATTGTCCATGTGATATTGACTTAGTTTCCACAGTTTCATATCGCCCTGTTGATTAATTGGTCAGGTTCCGTGACTGCTGGTCTATATTTACTATATTTAATAGCTATTCCGTCATCGACTAATATCTTGTGTACCCCTTAGTGCTAACGTGATCGGGCCAAGGCACACAAACATTCCATGCATCATCAGCAGCGCCTGCGGGCCAATGGCGGACGAGGTGGCACTGGATACGGCGCGGGATCGGTACCTGTGTCCGGCGGACACTCACCATTGTGCGCCCATTGCCGGGGTCAACTACTGCCCCATCCGGAGGAGCCAATCGTGATGGCTCTGGGCCAGCAATGGCACTGCGATTGCTTTCGCTGCTCCGTTTGCGAGGGGCATCTGCACAACTGGTACTTCGAGCGGGAGGGATTACTGTATTGCCGAGAGGACTACTACGGCCGGTTCGGCGATGCCTGTCAGCAGTGTACGGCCGTTATCACCGGACCCGTAATGGTCGCCGGCGAGCACAAATTCCATCCGGAGTGCTTCTGTTGCACGGCATGCGGCTCCTTCATCGGCGAGGGCGAATCGTATGCCCTTGTCGAGCGTTCGAAGCTCTACTGTGGCCAGTGCTATGGCAAGCGTTCATGCCAGCCGGCGGATGCCAAGGCTCGAATCACGACGGCCGGCAAGCCGATGCACTCCATCCGGCTGGTCGAGATCCCCAAGGACGCCACGCCGGGTCTGAGGGTCGACGGCGTGGCCCTCGACGACGGCTGTCCCACGGTCCGCATTACAGAGTAAGGAATAATCTGAAATTTCTATAATTTACACCAGTTTAGGCATATGGATGCATCCACTGTTCATCTAGCATTATTGTTAACTTTATTTTGTTCATTTGTCACATCATCTTAGTTGCTTGTTGTTTTTAAACACCTCTTTCAAAGAACAGATGGCACTTTTCTATTTTGTTTTAGGAACTCGAATTTTCCGAACATCTAAGTTGCCTATGCCCTAAATGTATTCACTCACTTTTCCCAACACAAATCACCAAAAAACAAGTTTTTTTTTTGTATAAGAATTTTGATAAAAATGCCTTTTCGGTTATATTTTATACTGTCCAAAAATTTTCCATGGCTTGGATTCGAAAGTACGTATTATAAATGATAACTATTATTTGATTGTATTTCATTGGTTGCAATCCATTATCTTTGAGTTGCCATTTGTGAAACTTTTCAAATTAGCTAACTAGTTCTAATCCTAATCGCCAACTAATTTCGCTGGTGGCTCGTCCTCCGACTCTTTCTCCATTTCCCTAACACATGCCTGCCCAACATAAACAAAAAACTGAAACAGCTTGTTCTGTAACTTCTTCTTTTGGCTAACCTCAATGGCGGAACAGTGCTGTGGGGCGCCCTATAGGTAACAAGTGCTACTGAGTTGAATACAAAGCAAAAGCTAAGCGGAGCAACACACTAATCTCTGGTTTATTTACCATTCTCTCCCAGAATCGATGTGAATCTGACGAATCTGCACATTGGCGATCGCATCTTGGAGGTGAACGGCACGCCAGTTAGTGATTCGTCCGTGGAGCAGATCGACAAATTGATACGGAGTAATGAGAAGATGCTTCAGCTGACCGTGGAGCATGATCCGGTGCAGGTGTGCCGCTCCTGCAGTCAAGCGGACATCCAGAGGGCGATGTCAGCGTCCACGTTAATCCTGCCGCTCAGCACATCGGCCTCCAGTGTCGAGGTGGGCAGGGAGCGCCTCTACAAGACACCCGGCGAACAGGGCACAAAGGCCAGGAAACTGAGACAAGCGACCAACGCTTCCACGACAATACCACCCGCAGCTGGGGCCACCGCAATGACGCAACTGAAGGAGAAGGAGCGCTGTTCGAGTCTGTCCAAGTTGCTGGATGAACAGCATCAGGCACAGCAGCACTCGGCGCATCCCCAGCTCTACGATCTATCCAGGACGCAATCTTGTCGTGTGGTCCAGAAACCACAGCGAATCTTTCGTGCATCTGATCTGGTCATAGGCGAGAAGCTGGGCGAGGGCTTCTTTGGCAAGGTTTTCAAGGTGACCCACCGTCAGAGTGGCGAGGTGATGGTACTCAAGGAACTGCATCGTGCGGATGAGGAAGCCCAGAGGAATTTCATCAAGGAAGTGGCCGTTCTCCGTTTGCTGGACCATCGTCATGTGCTCAAGTTCATTGGTGTTCTGTACAAGGAAAAGAAACTGCACATGGTCACGGAGTACGTGGCCGGTGGTTGTCTCAAGGAGCTAATTCACGATCCAGCCCAGGTACTCTCTTGGCCTCAGCGGGTCTGCTTGGCCAGGGATATTGCGTGCGGCATGAGCTATCTGCACTCGATGAACATCATCCATCGTGACTTGAACTCAATGAATTGCCTGGTGCGCGAGGATCGCTCGGTCATAGTGGCGGATTTCGGACTAGCACGCAGTGTGGACGCGCCGCGTCTGAAAGGCGGTGTGGCCTCCTCGGATCGCAGTGGCAATATGACGCCAGGCGGTTATGGATCAGGCGCTGGCAGCGATGCAGCCATGTCACCGAGTGGAACTCTCAGGCGCAGCAAGAGCAGGCAACGAAGGCAACGCTACACGGTGGTCGGGAATCCCTACTGGATGGCACCCGAGATGATGAAGGGTCTCAAGTACGATGAGAAGGTGGACGTCTTCTCCTTTGGCATTATGTTGTGTGAGGTGAGATTAAGTTAGCATTACTTTATTGGCTGAGCTCTCTAACCTATTTGGCCAATGCATTGCAGATCATTGGACGCGTGGAAGCCGATCCGGATTTCATGCCCCGCAATTCGGACTTCAGTCTCAATCAGCAGGAGTTTCGCGAGAAGTTCTGCGCCCAGTGTCCGGAGCCTTTCGTTAAAGTGGCCTTTGTCTGCTGTGATCTTAATCCCGATCTGCGTCCGTGCTTTGAAACTCTGCACGTTTGGCTTCTGCGTCTCGCCGATGATCTGGCCGCCGACCGTGTGCCGCCAGAGCGCCTGCTGCACGAGATCGAGACCTTTCAGGAGTGGTACGCCAGCTCAGAGGACGCCTTGTCGCCCACCACCCAGCGCAGCTTAAATAACCTCAATGAATTGGCCAAGAATGCGGCGGATTCGGAAATTTCGCCCGTGGAAAAGGAGAAGGAGAACCTGGTGATCAAGCCCCAGGACATACCCAAATCTCCTCATCTCGGCAAGGATTTCTCACCCAGCGGCGAGAGATTGCGGGACAGCATGCGTGCCAGGCGTCGCCAGCGTTTCTTGGGCGCCCAGGAGGAGCGTCGTAATCTCACACCCGACACGGAGTCCAAGGAAAGGGCTTTGAAGAAGGCGCTTAAGAAATGTCGTCCGTTTGGCGAAAGAGGTTACCTGGTGGATCTGCGTCACGGTGCCGAACTGCAGCTACAGGATGTAAGGGATCTGAACACCCATTCCGATGTGGACTCCAGTTGCGACACTAGCTTAAATTACCATGATGTTAATAGTCTGCCAGCAGCGCAAGAGGACGAGAATACGATGAAACCTGCCAAGGACGAGCTGGAGGAGAGCACCATTCGACCCAGCAACCAGGAGTCTCAGCACCACCGCCTGGCCATCGATGATATGCGCACCCGCCTGAATCAGTGCCGCAGCAAATTCGAGCATTTGGAGGAGGCCAGCCGGCGGAACTTCAACCAGTCGCAGCACTCCATGAAGAACTTCTTCAAAACCCCACCGGTGGCCCTTAAGATGTTCCAGCGTCTGGAGCACGAAGCTGCAGTTCTGAATGGTGGCAACAATTGCCCACCGCCACCGCCCCGTACGCAGCGCATCAATCAGACGCCCATTTTTGGTCGAAAGAATCCGCCCGTTGCAATGGTGGGACAAAAGCTGCAGCATGCCGAGTCCCTAGAGAATCTGGCCTCCAGCGGAGTTGCCAAGCCGTTGGCCACACCAGCACCCAAGCGAAGCAAAGCCACAGCAACGACCAAAAGCCAGAGCAGCAATAGCACCATTGTCAATCCGCCAATTTTCCTGCCGACCAGCCTCAACAATAGTGTCACATTACATAGCAATGGAAATGTGACCACCACGACCCATACCAACAGTAGTGGTCCACCATCCGCCCCTGACTGGCTGCCGAAGAAGCACAAGCTAACGCTGCCACTTCCGCCGCTCCAACAGCAGCGAACGAGCAGCAATCATCGCCTGCCCTCGAGCAATAGCAAAGGGAAGCCACTGAAGCCACTGCCCAGTCGCACGGCCACCCAAACCATACCCGCCAGCAATTGCGTCTCGCCCACCAGAAGCAACAGACCCGGCTCACCCAGCAAGCATCTGGCCCAAAGGCACACTGCGGCCACGGCCCAGCGACTGACAAATGGTAAACACTCCCATTAATTGTAAACAAATCAAGCTTTACCACCCTCTTGCTCCTGCAGCGGCCGCCAACCACCAGCAGCATCAGCAGCAATCCTCGAAGACGACGCGCCTAAGCATCCTGAGTCCCGAAAAGGTGCATCGCCTGGGCGCTCGACTCACCGACCAGAAGCAGAAAATGCGCGAGGAGGCCGCAGCGACGGCCTCATCCGTCGGAGGAGCTGGATGCGCGGCAGGAACAGCGACGGGCACCTACAATGGCCATCGGACCGGGTCCTCTGGATCGCCGAATTCGGCGGTCGGTGAGCGGAGGAGGCGAGCAGCACCACCGCCGCCAGCTCGCACGCATTTCAATACGCGCTGCTAGCTGGACCAAGTAGCCATACCCTCCACATGCGATTGTCAAGTGTTGTGCGCAGATTGTTGTGGTTCCACTCAGGAAGCTTCTGTAGGAAGCTTAATGTTCTTCGAACTAACTGTCGTAATTAGCGTAAATGTTTTAACGATATAACCATTCGGTTTGTATCGTACAGAAATATCTATATTTCTAGTATTCCAATACTTAAGCATAATGACACTAAATTTCTGTAACATTTCCATGGCACATTTTTTTTAAATATATAATGCCTTTTTGATGTATGTAACTTTAAGGAGCCAGTGAACTGTCCCGCTGTTATAAACGCAACTGTTATACGCACACGACAAGATCGACATTCCGATGGAAGTGTTTATTTTTTGTTTTTAAATCCAGCATTTGATTTAAAGTTTCAACTAAACGAAGGTTAAGTGCCTGCTAGGAAAGTAAACCAACAAGTTGCAATATTTACATTGATTGTATTAACCGTGCGAATAATTATAGTATGTAAGATTACAGGTTAACAACTGTTTCGACTAACCTAACAAACTCAACTAGAAGCAAAGCTAAGCAATTACTTGTTTAATCCACTATTGTCTGACATAAAGTTATATATTGCGAAAGAGACAGAGAAGTACGGATGAAGAGAGAAGGAAGAAACTTGTGCCATGACGTTGAGCGAAAAACGAACGAATCTAAAGAATCCTTGAGAGAGAGAAAGATCCCACCCGCGAATAAAAAAAGACAAAAGGAACGAAGTGAACTTTAACTAGGAAAATTGTGGTTTACATATTTTTTGATATACAGCGTATATGAATGTATTTATATATCGATTCCATAACTATATAGATAAACGTATTCCATTGTTAGTGCTTAAATGTAATTTATTATTTATCAATTCTCGACCCATACACCCCGTCCCCTCATTCCAAGAACAATAATTAACAAGTCTAAGAAACAAACTTTTTTTTGTATTGATGAGGAAAAGTCTAACTTCTATACCTAAATATAAGAATGTTTTGCTCAAAGGCAATTTTAGTTGTAATATAACGCTAACTGTTATACAAAAGAAACGCACACGCTCAAGCCTAATACTGTTATACTGTGTACTTTATATATAGCCATTGTATACCTAAACCTATATATAGGATCGAAACGCTTGCAATTAACTGCTTCTATAAGGCACTTGAGCCGGGCCCTTGTTATACGGACGTATGCCAGTAGAACAGTGGCCGCGCCGAACCGATCTAGCATTTAACTATCTTTATATACAAGAAATATGTGCGATATTTTTTATATGCAGCTAATGTAATGTGTTGTATTTTGACCCCACTCCACCTTGTAACTACGTTTATACGCCTGCTAATCGAAGTTTGATAAACGTTCCAAGAATTTTCGCGGACCTTACTCAAATAATTTTAGTCTTCAAGCCGTTGAACAGATATAATCAGTATAGCGACATTTTTTACCCACTTGTAAATAAGTTTATAACTAATAATGTTTTTGTTGCCTACTTATTCGAAAACCAAAAGGTCTGTAATTACAAATAAAGCTTGTGTATGAACGTAGTGTATAGTTTCTCGTTTGATTTTAATCGTAAACCTTTTTTTGTTAATAAAAAGTGAACATTAAAAAGAAACCATCAACTTTGTATTGTATTTATTGTGCAAATATAATTTTATTGCCCAGTTATTTCCACCTTTTGTACAATTTAAACTTTGAGCCCAACATTTCAAACCAGAATTAAGAAAACGCAGACTTTATCGAAAACGATCTGAAATAAAATGTGAAGATGTGGGTACAGTTGTGCGCGGACATAAACTTATGGTCGGGACTGTGGGGGCGTATGGAAAGGAGGAGGAGGGGCGTCAGTAAAGGACCCCGTTTACGAGGTCGTTGCTTGTTCGTGTGTTTCTGTATCTGGTGGCTCCTTTTCCGCATTTCCTTTTCACAGGATGTACGCACAGATACGGAATTTGTCCCAGACCATGGTCGGGAAATCGATTCAGGCCAACAGCCAGAGTATATATATGCACATATGTGTAACAATATACATATACATGCTTGCACTTTGTGGTCCTGCGCAGTGCTTTTCAGATGTCCTTTTTTGTTCGTCGAAATCAGGGCTTTTAATTTCATTAACAGCTACAGAGCTCTGTTAAGTCAGCTGTTCGGCGAGCGAAAGAGATGGAGCATACGGATTCAAGGTCTACATTTCTGTATCCTATGTACGTTCCGTATCTATGTATGTGCATGTGTATCTGCACAAAAACGGATGTGTATCCAGTTGGGCCACGAACTTTACATGGTATACTTACGGACGAACTTTCGGGGAGGGATTTCGTCACTAGATTACGTTTCGTGACTATGACGTGCAGGCACGTACACAGGCAGAGACGTAGCCCAATGGGGATTTTCATAAATTTAAATATTATGTTTAATTACTTAAGCAATGGGGGTTTTCATATATGTAAATAATTTATTTAATTACTAAAGCAGTTACAAGGTTTTTCACATAATATTTGGCTCTAATATTAGAAGCATTATATCAAATGCCTTAAAATTAAAAAGTAAAATTACTGCTCTCAAAAAAGGCGTTAAATTAAAAAACAAAAAGTTATAATCCCCTTTGCTTGCGCATGGTTGTAGTCTTTGCTGTCCTCGCAGCCCCGGTTCGTGTCCACGAAAAGGTTCATGTCTCTGATATGCCAGCAATTGCGATATTTTCTTGGTTCGTGTCTCTGATATACCAGCACTTCTGGTATTTCATTGGTTCGTGTCTTTGATATGCCAGCACTTCTGGTATTTCCTTGGTATATTCCAGTATACTATCGGAGATTTTTTAGTGCATTTCGCTGGGCCACTGCGGTATATTCGCACATGCTCGCCAAGGTCGCACTCTATCAGCGAGTTTTGTGGCGTCCGGTTCGGTTTTCCGTTATTCGCTGCGTCGCCGCGATCTCGTCGTTCGTTTTGTTCCTCCACGTTTTTGGCGTCGTCGTACGTTTACGTGTCCCGCTCACTCGCGCGCCCCCGCTCTCTTTCACTCCGCTGCGCGCGTGCCTAAGTGTGCTGTGTATGTGCGTATGTGTGCCTGTATGCCTGTGTGCGTGCGTGTTGGCGAGCAGCGCAGCGCAATAGAAAAGAAGAAGAAGGCCTGAAGCAAAAAGAAACATAAGTGAATTTTTTTTCGGGTGGAAGCGCGGTGAAAAATGCGTGCCTGCGCGCGTGTGTGTGTGCGTGTGTGCGAAAATCAATACGAAAACATGAATAACAAAAGCTAAGAAAGAAAAATAGCTACAACGCACAACAGAAAAGAAGCTGAAAGAAAAAAGAAGAAAATATAAAAACGAGAAAATTATAAATAATAGGAAATAGGGTAGCCAGCCAGCAGGAAGGAACAGTTAGCCATTCCAGTGAGCTAAAACAGCACACACACGCACGAACCCATTTCCAGATCCAGCCCATCCAGGGCTTCCAATTGACAGTTGACAGTTGCCATTTTCCAGGACAGCAGCAGGATGTCGCTGCAAACGAAAAGGCAGCACTGCTATCTGTGCGATTTACCCCGCATGCCATGGGCGATGATCAATGACTTTTCGGAGGCGGTATGCCGCGGTTGCGTCAACTACGAGGGCGCCGATCGCATCGAGGCGGTGCTGGACGCCGCCCGCCAAATGAAGCGTCTCCATCCCGCCAGCAAACAGCAGCGTTCCCATGAGAACGGCGAAGTATCCGCCGCTGCAGGAGCAGCCGTCGTCCTGCAGCAGCAGCAGCAACAACAGTTACAAGTTGGTCCAGTTCCAGGACCAGGACCGGGCTCCCATCGCGGCGGAGGCGGCGGCGGTCCACCGGGTGGTCCGCCCGGCACCGGTGGTCCCGGGCCGTCGGGCGCCGGTTCGCTGAGTTCGCTGGGTAATGCCGTTGCTGCTGCAGTGCATCATCATCATCAGATGCCCTATCAAATGCCCGTGCCACGCATCGGTCCACCACTGGACTATCCCGTTAAGCTGGAGGATGCACCCGGTGGCGGAGTACGACCCGTACGCATTTCACACATGACGCCCCACCACCTGCCGCCAAATGCGACCCGCGGCGGAGGCGGTGCACCGGGCGGAGGCGTACCCACCGCCGGCAGTGGCGGTGGCAGCCTCCCCCCCTCCCTCTCTGTGAATCTAAAGCGCCCACCCAGCGAGGATGTCGATGTGGATGTGAGCCAGCAGCAACAACAATCGGGACACGGCCTGCCGCCAGATGGCGGTCCTGGCAACGCCCTATCCGCCGGCGGAGGCGTGGCCGGTGGCGGTCCGCCCGGCATCAAGCGCAGCGCCATGGACGATCCAACGGGCGGTGGCGGCAGACCGCCATTGACGCGCGGCGAATCCCTTCCAGCTGCGGTCAGCTATGTGCCCGAGCGTCAGCTCAGCGGACTGCGTGATAAACAGCAGCCGGTCAGAGCGCCCAGTTTCGATGCATCGACCTTCAAAGCAGGTGAGCAAACATGAAAGAGATCATTCAAAATACTTGGTGCAGTGATTACACAATAGGGAGAATTTTGCAGACAGTATGGGGAGCTTGATCATATACAGTAGTGATTCTCAAATATACGCAGGGGTTGAATTTGATAAGCAAATATCAACATGAAAATTACCTTTGTTAATAATTAGATTAATGAATCTAGGAAGAGCATGAGAAGCTATGTTGATAAACATGAATATTTGTCATTATAAATAATAATTCAAAACACTGTCCCCATGGCATTAGGAAACAGATTGGGGGGATAATCCACTATCAGTCATGGATTTCTTATCCGTTGTAGAGATCGAATGCGATATAGATAGGAAAATAAAGTGACGGTAGGTTATTTTCAAGTCACAGTAAGCACTTGATATCTTCTCAAGTAAATTTTATCAAAATATAGTCATTGAAATACTTGGGAAACTTTGCGAGGGGTGATATTTGAGTTCATTTAGATGGCCAGAGGCAAGCAAAAATGGCAACAATCGAGATTTGTTTAAACAATCAAGAGATCGTATAACAGCAGTTAAAAGAAATAATGTGTTTGTCTAAAATTTCTTGCTGACTTGACGCCAATACGCACCAAATGCCTGGATAACAATAATAACTATTAAATTCCTTGGAATGAAAGATCACAGAAATTGCTGAAATCACAGATCTCAAATAGCTGGCGCCCACTGTATTTGTTTACCGTTTCTCCCACCCCCCCTCACTTTTTTTTTATTTTTTTTTGTATTTGAGCCGCGATCGCGGGATACAGAGCACTGTGTCTGTCTCGCTCTAGCCTGGATGAGGGTGGGGGAGTGGGAGGAAGAGGAAGAGAGGCGGCGATATTGTGGCACACATACCGCTCATTCAGGGCAGAGTGGAACGTCGTGATTGCCTGCTGCTTATCTCTCCTTACTGGAAGGCGTGCAAGAAGCAGACTTCGCTTGTCATGTATATGCACACACACATGAGCCGACGTTTGTATGGATGATAAGGAGCGTTGTGTCGGAGATTAGATAACTCATTTGCTTATCAGCGCGTCCTTATCGCTTCCCCATGCGTATGTATAATACACATACACTCGTGCACATGCATGCACATACATATGTACATTCATACAGAAAAAGAAGCGTAGAAACGCATTTTGCAACCCTCCGTGGAAAAAAAGGGGCTGCTAACCCTTGCCATTAAAAGGCATGCGCACATGCCAATATACATGTAGGGAATATACATGTGCATGTACCGCGCATACACACACATGCATAGCTACGTGTTCGCTTACATGCACGTACGTAACAGGCGCAGTGGCAAACACAAAAAAACGGCGAAAAAAGCGCAAAAAGCACACGAAAAAAGGGCCGCAAAATGTAATAAAAACAGAGACGTGCAAAAATCGTCGACGCTGACGTTGTAATGTTCTCGCTCTCTATCTCTTTCTTCTGCCGCTCTCCTCTTCTTTCCAAACTGGTTTCGTGCGTTTGTGTTGGTGTGTGTACCTTTGGTTTTTGTTGTATTTTTTCTTTCTTGTCTGCGCGCGCAAAACGTCATTAAACTTGTTTTGGTTTTCGCTGCTGCTTCTTCTGCTGTTTCTCCTTTTTACGCTATGCGATAACAAGTTGCACACACACACTCGCATACATACACAAACGCGACAGTCAAACCTCGGTGTAGATAAATTTTAGTTGGTATACGAATTACGGAACGAGCTGCAGTGACAACAGCAACAACAACAAAAACACTAAAGACGAGATGAAAAACAAAACTTTTTCGCTCATACCGATGCCGTCATCAAACAGTGGGGCAAAACTTGATTAACTTTGCAAAAAAAATGCATTATCTTCATATTTTTCAAATTGTTCTATCTTTATGCTCTAACGAAAAACGTAACTTAACTTTATTGTGCTAAAATTTGTAAAAACAAAGAAAGACCAATAAGTCCAAATGCTTTCTCCCAGACGAAAGGCAATAAGAACTTGCCAAAAATAAAATTCCAATCAAATATGTATGCATTTCTGGAATTTCCCACCTTACGCCCACTGTGCGAATTTCGTTTGTTGTTTTGTATTTACGTTACGCTTCTGCTTCTTCCTTCCTGTGTGTATTCGTTTCATTACCAAAAAACAGGAAAAAAAAACAAAACAAAAAAACCTGGTACATATTTATTTCGTCTGTGTATATACTAAAAATATAACAAACATTTTTGGGTGTACAGAGGAAAAATTGTACAAATTGTATGTTGCTATATTCTTGTACGTATGTACGTATATTTTTGTATGTACAAAATGATAAAATGGAACGGCAACGTGCGCGCGCCACCCCCACTCCACCCCCGTACTCATTGCCCACCTAGCACCCTCCCTTTATTCTTCGTTTCGTTTCATTCAGCGCTTCGTGTTGCCGGCTAAGTGTGTGTGTGTATCTAGTTCGTGTGTATGCATTTACTGACTGACCATTCCAATGCGTTCGCCAGGAATTCTGTTCGTGCCTTCGTTTTGTCGGTTGGTTGGGAGGGGGTGGGGCGGTGTGCATCCCCCTCTCCCACTCACACTCCCTTCTAATTTAGACATTGCGTGCTCAGTGCAGCTGCAATTGCGGCAAGTGCGAGCGAGATGGCTAGCTGGAGTGCATGGCCGCTGTTAACCGTTAAAACACGTGAAGTAGCAAAGTCACCGCCGCTGATTAGATACAGCAGCGGTCACTAGAATATAACCATTGAAGCATTAAAATGTTCAAATATTGTTTTAAATGTTTAACTGTAATTATGTGAGTTCTAGCTATTCTGTAGAATATATGTATATTGCAACTATTCTGTAATAGTTGATTCTGATGGTAGTTGATGTAATAGGTGATTCTGCAAGAAGTAGATGATTTAATACTTTATGACAAAGTTACAATAGTTTTATATCGTAACATCAAATCATTTAGCTCGCTTATATATTTCTACCATTTTGACTTTCCTAGTTGTCCAAACAATTCACTTTGCGAATATATGTTACTTTGCATAAATTCGTCTGTAAGGGTATCTAGAGCTTTACACATTTCATTTGCCATTCTAGGGGTTGGCACTTGGTCTGTGTGTGAAGATAAACGATTAACTTATCGGCGGAGATTGCACCATCGACCATATCTTATCGTAACTGCGGGACCCAACCATGTGGTTAATTGATAAGGCAAACAACTGCTCGATAAGTAGCTAGGACCCAAAACATGAGACCCGAAAAACAAACACGCGGAAAGAGCAGCGGCCTGAGAATTGTCGGTTTCTGCCGATATGAAATGCAATCGCCGGTTTATGATAAATGATTCTCTTATTGATTGATACATGCCGGAATCGTATTACCAGCGTTTACTTATCAACAGTTGGGGAAATGTATGTATACCGCTTTTGATCATAAAAGTCTTGGGATTTCCTGAGTCTTAGGTTTTGAGGTCTATAGGAGTAGAAATTAAAAGTGATATCTCGATCTTTTATTGGATTTAAATGCATACACTTTATGCATTACTCCGAACTAAAAGTTATAGAAAGCCAAGTTTAGCAGCAAACCAAAAGTTTCTTGATCTCTTCAGTGAGATCATCCCGATTTGTATGGCTGTGTGTTGATAAGGTCTTTTTCCGCCCGATAGCCAGCCGCCGTCATGGAGATAAGAAAAACAATCTAGACGGATTCCGATGGAAAGTATGACTTACTCGAGTACAGGGTACACAAAACACCGCTTCGCTTCCCATTTCCAATTCCATTTGCACTTCCAATTCCACTTTCGTTTGCTCTTGGGCCGCTCTTGATACTCAATACACACAGCTGTTTTGTTTATCTTATCTAATTGTTAAGTGGACTGGGGTCCTCAGCCTATCTTATCAACTCTTATCAGCTCAGCCACGGCCAACTTTGACTGATAGCGCCGCGTTGTACCGGGTCGCTATATTCAATTTGAGTGGTGGCATGCCATACACCCTGTAGCACATTTGTTTATTTTTCATTAGATCTTCTGTGTTTTGTTAAAGTTTCTTTTTCCTACACTGAATAAACACAAATACACGATGGCTGAGACTTTTTCCTTTGAAGATGTGATTTCGGAAACCAATCAATGAAGATTGGATCCACTTAAGAGTATTCCCACTTGGGGCAACGCTCCAATTTATTATATCGCTGAATAACGTATAACATTGCCCATGATAAGTGTGCATTATACAGTGTGGGTTGTACTTTTAAAGCTAATAAATTTTAATGGGGCTCTCAGTTGTATTCTTTGTATTTTATCGGTTAATGTTTTGATATCAACGAGCTCGAAAAAAACAGTTTGTTAATTTTTAATATTTTCTATTAGTAAATTATCAAGTTGGCCTATTTATGCCGTTGAGTTACCCAAAAATCACGTGACTGATAATTTGCAGAAAAAGTGTAGATAAGGCTTATAATCATCGCATCATTATAATGTACTTATTGGGTTATTAGGAATTTATAGTTTTATCAAATAAGGTTAATTACATACCATCCACATTTGAGTTTGTCAATAAGGAAACTTTGATAAACGATTAGAGCTGATTAAAAATTATAAAAAAGCTATTATTTATTGCTATTATTTGATGATATTTAAATGATAAAATCAAATCAAAAAAGTTAGACTTCGTATGAATGAATTCGCCAGCAATTGCAATTCCTTTCCCCAGGGAATCTCATTTGAATACTCGGCAAATAGATAGTGCTGTGAAAAATGGGGAGGGCGTAAGCAAGTGGGCGTGGCCGCCCATTGGGTGTGGTGCGATTCGTTTTCATTCATTCGAAGGTGAGAATAGTTTCTATTCCACATATAAACACACCGAACACAATATGGTTTCCTTTCTCATATACAACATTGTATAAATATTTATTGTTTGCATTTCTCGCCCCGGTTTTCACTGGCTCATGACTAAAAATGTGTAATAAATTGTCAAATGATTCATTCTAGCAAAGTTGTGCGAAAAGGCAAAAAAAAAATACATCGGAATATCGAGAAATATTCCATAGCCAGGCAAAATGTGCTGAACGGCGGAAAACGTAAACTAATTCTATAAATAGTTTCATATTCGATACTGGGATAGCAGGAGATAGCGCAAATTTGTTTGTTTTCAGCTCCGAATGTATGAAAAACAAATAAACATTGGGGTGCATATCTACATACATACATATGTATATTTAAATGCACTAAAGCACACTACATGTGTATGTGTGCACATATATCTGCGTTAAATAAAGTCGTTTCAAAAATAGATTGCAACGAAGTTGCAGTCGAGTGAAGTTCGACTGCAGTAAACTGAGACTGAATACAGTGGTTCGTTGGAATTAGAATGCTATTTGAAAATAGTATTAGTACTGAAAAGTGTTTATGACCTAGAACGATATTTAGTAGTCTTATGGATAATTCACTCATGCTTACAGTTTTAATGCAGTTTCTTGTCCCAACTATCAATGCAAAATATCCATAAATTGATATTTCATTTTGTATTATAGTTGTAGAATCGAAAGAATGATATTCCAAAACTGGAAATTAGATAAAGTTAAAATTTGTTTTGCTTTTTAACAAGTTTACGGTCTTGGATTTGAAATGTGAACTTTATTTATTTGATCTAATGTGTTAAAATTTAAAAATTGAAATTAACAGAAAGAAAAATATATAGGAATAAATAAGCTATAAGACAACTACTGTTATTTTTGTGCCACTGTTATCCATTCACTTGTTCTTGCATTTGGGCCACTGTGCGCCGTGCTTGCAACTGTATGTGGCAGGCTTGCCATCTCGCTCTATCGCTCGCTATCTCCGCATTCTTCTCAATGGGCCACGCACATGCAACTGCAACTGCGCAACGGCAGCAGTGCGAAAGGGATGGAGAATGCGGTGGTGGATTGTGAGGTGGTGGGGCGAGAAGAGGGGATAGGCTTTCGCTTTGGCATTTATTGCTGTTGTTCTTCATCTCTTGCATGCAAAATATAAACAAATGCTATAAATACACACGCACACGTACTCTAATGCATTCGTGTTGGGGCCACACAACATGCACGACTTTGCCTTGCCTGCCTCTCCCCTCCTCATCATTCCTTTTTCGCTATTCCTTTGCTGTTTTCTTCATGCTGCTCGCGTCTGCTTCTTCTTCTTTATTTTCCTTATTCGCCAATTTAGCCAGCGTAAGCAATTTAGCAAGAGCAAAAGCAAAAGGAAAAGTAAAAGAAGCAACAGTTTATCAAATAAATAAACATAACAGCACACACTCGCCAAATGTGCGAGAGCTTAATTTCGTATGCAGCCCACTGTGCGACGCCGGCAAACTGACAAGCGTCGACATTTGAGCAATGTGCTATCTTCTGTTGGGCATACAAATGAAATACGCTCTGCCATTGCCTCTTCTCGTCCACCTTCTGCAGCGCGCTGTTGTGTTTTAATTTTCATTTTTTATTTTCAATATCAAGCAGCTACGCGTGCGCGTGCATTGCCTGCGAAAAGCAACAAAATTGAAATCTTGTGCATATAAAAAAGCCAACCAGTTTACAGCGGCATAACAGCTCATTTACAGCGCCGTAACAGAGCGCCGAACAGCAAACACAAAAGCAAGTGAAAAAGAGGTGGAAGAAGCAGCAGCAGCGGGCAGTCAAAACAAATCGGCATATGCATGTATGTATGTGTGTGTCTGGTGTACATACACATTATTGCATGCTGGCATGCAAAAAATAACAAAACGAGATGGAGAAACCGGCTGCATGTTCTCTTTCTCTCTCTCTCGCTCACTCGCACGCCCGCCAACTTTTCGTGACGTATGCGCAGCAGCAGCAGAACTCGTTTTGTTTCTTTTTATTCCATTCGGGCACTTTGCCAACAAGAAGAAGGTGAAGAAAGAGAATAAGACGACAGAGGGAAGCAAGCGAAACAAGAGCAACAAAAACAAAGGAGGCAAAAAAAAAGAAAAAAAAACAGCTGTGTGAGCTGCACAGTGGAACAAGAATGACACGCAATCGTAACATGCCGCTGTGACGTCACATGGCTCGCCGGTGAATGAAACTTGTTGTTGGTGCTCTTGTTGCTGAGCCGGCGTTGCCAAGTAATAAGTGAATGTGAATTTATGTACATATGTAGAAGTACATGCTACGTGTTTATATATATGTGCACAACACGAAATATACATAGAAACACGTTTCGTGCCAAGTTCTAAAATTACACATATAACAAGGCAACAAAACAACAAAATAAAGCCCAAATAAAACCAACAACAATAAATTCATTTTGCACTGAGGCAAGACCAAAACGAAACATGTGATTAACTCTTTTCGTTGTTTGATTCATTCGCCCACAAAATCGAAAGCACAAATTGAATGAAAACGGCTTGTTCTTCTCCCCAATTCTTCAAAAATGTACAATTTGCAATGAAAAAAAAACACACACATTTAAAGTCATGGTTTAAAAAGATTTTGGGAGGTCGCCTTCGCCCCACCATCGCCGATGTCAACGTCAATTATGGATAATTTAGTATGAATAATAATAGTATGAGCTCTTGAATTATAGGCTGCGCCGTCGTCAGTGATGATTTTGTGGGTGTGTCGCCATACTTATGCATGCCAGTGTATAATAATGTGGCAAAGTGGGGCCAAGGCCCATGGTACATTGCACTTGACTCACGAGATTACATGCCTAAGTTATCATGGTGACCCATGACACATATAAATGAATAAAACCCATGACAAGTTGAGTTCAATTGGAATCGGTTTTTGCCTAAATTTAAATGTAGTATGAAAATGTACATATCTAATGGAGTATCATATCGTCCTGCGAATATCAAGCTGACATCAAGCTGCTTGTTTCTCTCTGTGCAGCCAATCTGATACCTAATGCGATTCCACACCATCTTCACATTGCAGAGCACATGTCCCCGGCCAGTCGGCGCAATGGATCGAGTCCGCCCTCGGGACCGCTGCCCCCGCGCAGCGTACACTCGCCGAACAGTTCGGGTTAGTTTGCCTCCACACAATCGGTTGCGGTATCAGTTTGTAGCTTATTGTCAACTGCATGATTGTACAATTGTAAAATACACACATATCACAAATACATTTAATATCTATTTTAATGCAAATTTTGAAATCATATGTTCGTTTTCCTTATTTACGTAGAAGTTTACTTGCATTTTTCGTTGTAATATTAACCATTTGAGATTTTACATATATATTTTTTCTTAATAATATTTCTTTTAAAGGAGGTAGTCTGTACACGCATTTCTCAAAAACTGTATGATTATCTTGTGGTAATATATTATATATTACATATTGGTGATTTATGATTATCTTAATTTTGTTCCTTTCATATTCATAAATTTGCCATTGTCTTTAGGGTAGTTCGTTGCTTGCCCAGTCTAATGAAATCGAATTTTGCAGGTTCCTCGTCGGGACGTCGTTCGTCAGGATCCCGTCACGTGTCCAGCACCACCGTTACCAGCTCCGAGGTGGGCGGCTCGAATCCAGGCCAGGCGGTGGTCGCCGGCGGCCTTGGGGGCGGTGGCGGCGGAGGACCCGGCTCGAATGCAGCCAGCGGCCAATTGGGCGGACCCAGCGGCGGCAGTGGACAGCTGAGCTGTACCAGCGGCGGACCGGGCGGCGGTGCCAGTTCCGGTAGCGGAGGCAATGGAGCCATTGGTCCCGCCTCGATGGCGCCAAATTCAGTGGCCGGTGATGGCAGTCCGGCCGGCGGTAATGGTCCATCCGGCAGCAATGGCAGCGGTGGATCCGTAAATCCCGGTCCCGGCAGCAGTGGCAGTCAGGGCGGTGGCGGAGGCGGCACACCGCTGGCCAGCGGCGGCGGTTCGGCGGGCAGCGGCGGCCTCGGCGGAGCTCCGGGCAGCAGTGCCGCCTCGAATTCAGCAGCGGCAGCAGCGGCGGCAGCTGCCCAGAATGCCACGCTTAAGTGCACCCTGTGCCAGGAGCGATTGGAGGATACGCACTTTGTCCAATGCCCCTCGGTTAATCACCACAAATTCTGCTTCCCCTGCAGTCGCGAGAGCATCAAACGACAGAATGTGAGTGGGTCGAAAGATGGGCCATATATCCACTGCAACATACTTTTCCACTATCACGATCCATTATGTATCTGTAGAAACAGCAGGCCATTCTGCCGTTTATTTCGTTTAAAACAAGTCTACACAATATTAATTTCAATTGTTTTCGATAATGTGAGGGATTAAATCAGTGATAGTTGGACAAATGTGTTGCACTGGGATTTATAGCCTTTTCATTATGGAACTCTACTAACTCTGAATTGTTTCGTTTCCTCGACAGGGACTGGGCAACGAGGTGTACTGTCCCAGCGGCGATCGCTGTCCGCTAGCCAACTCGGTGATACCGTGGGCCTTCATGCAGGGCGAGATCACCACCATTCTGGGCGAGGAGGTTAAGGTGAAGAAGGAGCGCGAGTCTTAATGTCCATTTTACTGTAAGAAGCTGCGCAGGGCTTTGGAGCACTTTTGAGAGGCGACAACTCCCCGGAGTATATCTGGCATCCAACTCTTGACACTCTCTGTTGGATCTCTGGTTTAAGATTGGGGGAGTAACCGATTTTTTTTGGACATGGCGGCGGCATCTCAGCAGTAGCAGATATGAATGTAAATGCACTGTCTTTGTCCATGACGACCGACCAAACAAGAACTACAACAACAACATCATGAACATCAACAGACACAAAAACAAAACAACAACAAAACAACAATTTTGTAGGCGTAAGCAACAAAACACAAATAAGAGAAGAATCACGTAAATGAAAATTGCAATTTGAAGTTTACGGAGAAAAGAAAACACAACACCAAATCGCTCGCAAATCAGAAAATCAGAAAAACATATGTAAGCGAATGCGTTGATACACATTTTTGAAGCTTACATATAGACGGGCGTTGGTAAATTTGTCCAAAAAGAAAACGAACACCAACCAACACGAAATTTCTACGAAAATGCATACGTAGCCAAGTGAGGAAGATTTTCGAACCGAAATGAAATTTTTCTTAATAAAACGATAGTAAACTAAAATCAACCTAATTGTAGCAGACACAAGCGGCAAACCACAAATAAAGGAAAACACACTTGCTGGCATTAGATATAAAATCCTTTTTTTTAATACGATTATACATAAAACCTATACATTAGACGATAATTATAATTCTGTTATGTAGGCGAGCGATTTAATTCATAAGTTACACATAGTTTGTACTAATTAATTAATTTATTTCTATACATGTTGCCTAATTTACAATCGACATTTTACCCTCCTACCCTCACACTTACTTTTTTTTAAAATACTTTTAAACGTATAAATACCATTTTTTTTTTGTAAGTTAACTAATTTAAAACACACTGAAAAAACGAATGGAAACGATAGAGAGAAAAACAGTTATTATGCTAAAGAAATGTACATACGTATGCATACCACATAATCGGAATATAAATATATACATATATTTAATAATATAGAAATATATTTAATGTTGAACACAAAATTGGCGGCAAAAACAACTGGCAACACACCGATAACGGAGTTGCAGTGGAATTTTAAACAGACTTTTTAAATCACAGCGAATCTCATTCGCTCACTGAACATTTTAGCAACACTTTTTGTGCTTTTGAACGAGGAAGTCGGCCCAACTGGGCGATATTTCCTCTTGGGTATTAGATTGGCAAATGTTTTTTAGCTATATATATATTTAGGATGTATGTATATAGCCGATGTTGCTGGGCATGAACTGCAAAAAGTAAGAAGCACACACGAACTGGACCAACCAATCGAAAAAGCACAACAAATCTCGATATCGGTTTGAATCGAATATTAGCAGCAATATAACTTTATTTGTATGCGTCTAAATGGACGTCATTTGGTGGGATTGCGTCAATGCCAATTGTCCTTTTTGCGGTTCCAATTTGAAACTGATTTATAAATGCTGTCTACTAAAGGGTTTTTTTACTAGGCTCGCATGGAAATCCTAATGGAAAGCTATATTAACATAGTCGAAGAAAGCTGTCAAGCGAATCGGTCATCAAATACAATTTATATATGCATATATATATATACATATATATACGTATATGTAGAGGCATATTGAGCAAGGCGTATTATCTAGTTAAATTTGCCAAATTCATTAAATTTACTTCGACGTCTTATAACTCCACTAATGAAACGAAAATCGTAGATTTTTTTGAAAATGTATTCAAATCTTTCAAACATACTTAAGTAATACGATCTTAATTTCATTTTTCGTAGTTCCAAAACATATTTCCTATTCAGTAGAACAATTTATTCTGTTTGATTTTGAAGAAATCGGTTTTCTGATAGACAGCAGCAATTTGATTGTTAAAGTATTTCGATGATTTCGATAGAAGCATTGAAAAATTGGCAATTATCGATAGCACCAAATTTTCACGAAATTGCTGGAAAAGTAAGTGAAAAAGAAAGGAGAACTAACTTATGTATACATATGTGAATCTATAATTCCCTATTAACAATAATTTTTTAAAACTATTACTTTTTCCTTGAGCGCAGTATTTAAGCTAACAAAAATACTTCCAAGCCAAAAAAACTCAAAACTACCATAGTTTTTGGTAGTTTTTTTTCGTTTTAAAAGTGATTTTGTTTGCAGAAATACTGAGTTTAATGCACAATTCTACACATTTTAGTTTCTCTTCAAGCGGAAGAGCAGTTGGAACAAAAACAAAAAGATAAAGAAAAACACATTTTGTGATATAGCCTAGCAAGAAGAACAACAAGAAGATCATGAGATCCTGGAAATCGGAAAAACCAAAATGGAAAATGCATGAAAAGCAAAAAAGCTAAGAAAACTTTAACAGGCTTAGCACTTTGGCAACCAGAAAACGATCTCAATTAAAAAATTGAGATTCGCAATTAATGAAATAAACAACAAAAGAAAAGAAAAATGGAAAAAAATGAAAAACAATTTATAAAGAAATCATACAATAGGCCAATACCAACGTTTTAGCAATATAAGTCTAAGAAGAAAACTAATCGAAATTTTCTTTACAACAAAACTAAACTAAATAATAACTAACGTTTGTAAACCTTGTGCGTGTGTGTGTAAAACAGTAGTGCTATCTAAATATAATACAGATTAGATATCGCATAATGCATCAACCCTATATAAGTACGAGTACATACATATTAAAAAACCTAAAACAAATCAAACAAAAAGGAATATTAACTATATTTGTGTGTTTGATGTCAGTCAACTAAATGTTAAAGTCAACTAACGATCACGTAAATGTATTGCATAGCCTATAACATTTTTTGAACGAAGCAAACCAAGTCGATTCGATTTAGCATGAGTATCAACTTTATACTACATATACACTTAACGACTAAAGATAGACACACAAGTGGTACAACTAAGAGGAAACACCGGATGCAGCAGACACGAAAACAAATACCGAATCGGATGCTGGCAATGATTAATTGATTGATTAATTAATTGATTGTGGACTCTGATGACGGGCAAAACAATTAAAAATACTATACAAAATCGAAAAAATCGTGCATGTTTTATTTGCTGGGCGGCAGAATCCAACTTACCATACCAAGAATATGACTAGACAAAAGTATTGCCTACTTATCGGATGATTGTTGCGATCCCAGACATTCGATTTACAATGGTTTGGCTTTTATAATTTGATATTTGATTGGTCGTTGTGGAAAAAAATCGTTAATCTTTGCTTTTAATAGATAGACATATTATTATACTACAAGCACAATATGCGACGCATAACAACACGGCGTATGCGTGATATCAAACATACGACATGTGTTTCATTTGCAGTATTACTCATACGACGCGTGTTTTAGAAATATTATATGATATGAGTATTGGTATTATTTTAGAATTAGAAAATACCACAGCACCCGCTGTGGTGGTGGAGTTCTTAGCAAATTGTCCATAAAAGAAGCTTTTAGCTTATTTATTTAATCTAAATTTTTTGCATTTACCACCGAAGCGCCCTCTGTTGGTGCTGTTCCTGGGAGTTTTTATCGTTTCAGTTGCGAAAAATACCTGGCAGATGTCGCTTTGCTGCGCAATCGTCCTGCATAAATGCTCTCTTTCTACGGCTTTCGCCCTCGCTATTTAGCCCGGCAAGCGATATTTCCAATGTTTACATTTTACCGACCTGATATCCAAGCGGTTGAGCAGTCGTTTCAACTTCGGGTGTGGGTCCTCGTGTCCTCGGCTCTCAGCTGCTGAGGCTGCTTTCACAGCCGCTGCTTTTGCCACAGTGGCTCCGTTATTTGTGCGTGCGCGTTGCCAATAAACGGGCAGCGGCTTCTGCTCAGCTCTCGTGTGATACAAAAATATGGATTCCTGTGGATTCCGATTGATTGTTTATCGTTAGCCGTTTGCTAATTAGGCAGTGTGTTTTTTCCAAAATTTTAACCGGTATTTAAAATTTCTGTGTGCGAGCATGTGTGTGTGTGTGAGTGTGCTGGCACCAAAATATAGGCAACAAAAGGTGTCAAAACGGTTAAGCTGACAGCTTCCTCTCGCTCTCACTCTCATTCTCTCTATCTGTACGAGTATATTCCTCTGCAGCGCAATGTGTTTGTGTTATACACAGGACACAACTATGAATACAGCCCCAAAAAAAAAACCGACTCACACGTATACGGAATCGGGATTGGATACCGTAACTTGGCTTGCGCCCACGCACGACCACATTCACATACTCAGCGGCAAGAGCGCACTCTCTCCAGCTCGTGCTCTCTCTCTCTTGTAGCCTTTCTCTTTGACTTGCATAGTGGGTGTTTTTGGTTTCACATCTTAAACAATTTGAGAAAATTATATTAGTGTCAATATTTTTTAATAATTAATATATTTTAAGATTTATAAATCTTTCTTTTGTTTTATGTTTCTAACAAATTGTTCGTTTTGGGATAAACTTGACAAGCGAAAGCAGCCCACTGTGCAGATAGACAGTGTTCCTGTTTTTTTTTTGCCTTTTTTTTGGGTGAACTGAAATGATGTTGACTCAACGTGCCAGCAGCCAGCCAGGCGCTAACGGTAACAGCAACAACAACAACTACAGCAACAACCTGACAACGAGACAACAACTACGTTGTAGTAGTGGAATCGCAGCACTTAATAAGTGTATTTTCCACGCAAAATTACACAAATTGTGTGCAAAAATTAGATGGTGCAGATGGAAGAAGCAGAACTGCTATTAAAACCACTGCATAGTGTGTGCTGATAACGGAATAAAAAGAAAAACCGTAACCGTAACTCCTCTGAGCAGGCAAGAGACAAAAGAGAGCGAGAGCGTTGTAGAGAGTGAGTGAGAGGCAGTGGCAAAAAAATTCGTCATTCATTCACAAGTGCAATGTGGAAAGCAACAACAGCAACAAATAGGGGGCAAAAATAGAGCGGCTTAGGCAGCAAATAAAACAAATAACAAACACAACGAAAAAAAAAGGAAAAATGAGTGAAGCGCGTGCTTAACCTAAAAGTGCAGGCCACTCACCCACACAATTACACACAATCAGGAGCTCAAGCAGTCTAAGCATACACATATGTACATACGTGCATATATGTATGTACATATGTACCCTGCAGTTCCATTCATTACGGCTTCAACAGTGAATCACCGCTTAGTATGCATCACGAATATTCATTTTGAGATGTTTCTGAGAAGCGATAAATAGTGAAACTGCAGGGTACATTTGTGTCGACTTCCTTGGCTCAAATTCATGTTCTTTGATTTCCGCTTCCGCTATTCGCAGACAACAACAATCGAAACGACAACAACAACAACAATGCATAGTTCCTGCTGAGTAGCTTTTTTGTATAATCGAATGAGTGTCCCTTTGTGTATTTGAATGAGAAGCTAGGTAAGCCAAGATGAAAGCCAATCAAGCAATAACAACAGCAACCGCAACAACAACTAATCACTGCCACCTACAAACAATAAGTTAACAACAATAACAACAACAGCAGCACCGAAGAGGAGAAAGACCCCAAAGCTCGAAAGAAAAAGCAGGAAACGAAGGTGTGTGGCCAAAAGGAAACTAGGAAATGTCCCAACCCTCGTAGCTAGCGGAAATTCCCCAATAGGAAAATGGATAACCAAAAAAACGGATAAATATGTTTAGAAATAACATAAATGGATCAAACAACATAAACACAACTAATAAGAACTGCACATGAAATCCCATATGTAAAATCAACTATCGACAACAAGAGGGGAATAAACGACTATCAACAACTGCCAAGAATATTCAAAAACAACAACGATAATTTACACCAACTAGCAACCAAAGCTTACAAAACCAATAAAGAAAATTAAAATTATTGGGTAAACATTCTCATTCAAATATTTCCACAACTACTTTGAAAGAAACCATTAAATTACAAAAATAACTATTGGATAAAAAAACTCTAACAACGAAAAGGTAAACAACTAGCTGGTTTAAAAATAAACACCAAAAACTTCCTAGCTATAGCTAAAACTTAAAAAAAACATGTAGTAATTAAAAAAACTATATAAATTAACCAAGAATAAAAAAAATTGCTTGCCAATTAACAACCTTAAATCTTTACAATGTATACAGAATCATGGTAGATACCAACTAAACTCGCACAAAATTTAAGCTAACGTTACGTTTTTGCAACAATAATTATTATTATCGAAAAGGCTTACACTTAAATAAATGTTGTGGAATATGCAAATGAAAGTATCTTAGATCTACGGCTTCCATAAATTTAAAGCATTACTAAACGAACTAGCAAAAACCTAAATAATTGCTAATTATTTCACATTAAATCACATATTTACAACAATTAAAGTATTTAACTAAGATTGAGTTATATCCATACAAATTCGACATTCTTCGTGCACATGATATTATATAATTTAACAAGTAGTAGCAATAAAATTTCACAAGCAACAAATTTGATCGGTATATGGATATAAAGAAAATCTCCAACGAACACTATGTTGAGCAACATGAGACATTCAACAACAACTTACAACAAGAACGCACAACAACAATGAACCAACAAAGGAACTCCAGCAGATGGATGGCATTGACTTAAACAACGCTCTTATATCTTAACTTCAATTAAAAAAACAAATAAATATATAAAAACGATTTGTTGGGGTAACACGAAAAGAGTAATGGAATCTGTAATAAGCTAACAAATAGATTCAACAACCAGTTTCAACAATATACCCCACACCGACTTTCTTCATCGAACCACCGCAAAGAATCTAGCGGTTTCTTCAAGATGGAGCGCATGTGGCGAAAAGTAAACCACAGTTTGCGCAACACCAGCAAGTCGCAACCACAGCAACCAGCAGGTGCCGACGGAATCATCGGTGGCGCCGCCACAGGAGCCACTGCTGCCACGCCTCAATCCACCGACACGATTAGTTCGGCTGGCGGATTCGGCGATGGTCAGCTGGTGGTAGCTGTCCAGGGATTGGCCACCGGAGGCATTGGTGGATCCATCGCCGCCAGTGGGGGCAGCAATGCCACCGGAAGACGCCTGGCCAGCAGCGGCGGAGGTGGCGGATGTAACAAATCCCTCAGCCAGCATGTCCTGCAAACACGTACCGCTTCCTCGGAACGCCGCAGGCGGCGTCGGCGGAAGAGTCGTCCACGACGTGGCGGTGGAATGGGAGTCACCAGTTGCGTCGGCGATCCTGGTGGCGACAATATGTCGTAAGTTGAAATTGCTTTCAAAGCAATTTAATTAGCTTAATCTTAATTTTTTTTTTTTTTTTTTTTTTTGCACCTAGAGGGGCAAAAAATTGTGTCACGATGTACATGTTTGAAATCCGGAAGTTCGATGAATCAATACCGCAATACAATATGCTATTTTTCGCAGCGCTCTTTTGGGCGCCACTTGAAGCGAATTGAAAACTCTAGAGATTTCTCGAGCACCCCTTTTCATGGTGGTTTTCTTTATTTTCAATGTTCTCACAAGACAATGCCATTCAATGTTGAGTAGTGGGTAGTGTTCCTGGCGGAGACTCTAACGAGGCCTTGACTCGCTTTCCATTGCAGTTCCTCGGGCGGCTTTTATACCCTGAAAGAGCACCAGCACTATCGTCCCAGTCACCATCATGGCGGAGGCGTCTCTGTTGCCGGTGGCGGTGGCTCATCCCGTCGTCTGTTCGCCACTTCGGCGCCCAGCGGCACAGTGATGATGTATCCCAACCCCCAGCGCGCCACGGCACTAGCAACAACCGGAGGATCTGGATTCGGGCAGGCAACCACTGCGGGCGGCGGCGGAGGAGCTGGAGCCGCTGGAGGTGGTGCGGCTGGGTCTGGATCTGGAGGACAGCCGGACATCTCACTGAGACAGCGGGCGGTGGCCAAGTTGCGCATGTTCAACTTCCATCTCAACTGGGATCTGCACATGACGCACTGCAAGCCCTGCGGGTGAGTAGCACTTCTACACTTAAAATAAAGAAAGATCTCAAATCAAAGGGAATTCACGCTTCAAAAGGAATAGTCACACAAAAAGTAGAACTCGAGTTATGCATACAAAATGCTAAAGTAAAGCAAATGAAATAAGTTAAGGCTACAGTTTTTTAAAACACGGAAATCGCTATTTATAAATTTAAATATCATATCATATAAAAAAACACTTTGTAATCTATGAATTTAATTGCTTGCATAAGGATATCTTATTTGTCTTTATTTTTTGTGCGCTCAACATGACGTTTATTTGATTTTTACAAACATATTGAAGATGCCTTTTAAGATCTTTAAAAATATATAAACTACTTTTGTTGTCACCGATTTTTCTGAGTGCAGCGCGCAACTGGAGTTGCAACTGGAGCTCCAGTGCGTTGGAGTGCCCAAGTGGCTGCCACTTGAGTCTGCTCCAGTGGCTTGTGCTTTTGTTTGCCGCATAGTTTTTACCGGGTTGCCCACTATTTTATTTTTTTTACATTTTTTTTTTTTTGGTATTTATGTCCCCTGTTCGCTTCGTCTTTTCCTTTTTTCTTAAACCTTTTTACCCCATTTTCATACGCCCTCTCAGAGTTTTTCATTTGTTTGTTGTTGTGGTTTTGGTTAAGTTGGAGCGTTGGAGTTTTTGGTTGCAACTCCGAGTTTTCAGTTTCCAGCATTTTTGAGCCGTTCAAGTGGCCGCGGGCGTTGAACGAACCCAAATGCAAAGTGGGTCGCCGTTTCATTGGGCGCTGGGCTTAACTTTTTGAGGCTTTAAGCCAACAACATCAGACATCGCGCATACATAATAAGGTAAATGGAGCACAGTTTTCTTTACCGCCGAATGTGTGAAATTTTAATGAAGCGCCAGCTAACGAGCTCCAATGTGACCCGCCCACCATGCACAGTATTATTCGTTTTTTTTTTTGTGCATATCCTTCCTCTTTTTTTGATGGTTGGGGAAGGCGCCTGTCAGCAGAGAAATCAAGTTGATGGCGCCCGCGCAGGGACTTCATTGAGAGGTTTAAGAGCAATTAAGTTTTGGCTGGAATAAAATATATTTATACATACGGAGCAATAATATTTATTAAATTACTTTATTCATTTAGCATACCCTTTAGCCTTCCCAGTCAAAGCATTATTATTGATTACTTTCTATTGCAGTCCCCGTTTGAGTGGCAGTGGTGGCAACATAATCACCCGAAGGCTGTGCCGCAATCGTCGGCGGGATGACAACGAACTGTACCGCTCCAATAGCTTCAAGTTCGAGCGATTCGAGCGCAAGGAGTGCCTGGAGGAGCTGTCCAACACGTTGCAGAAGCAGGTGAGTCATGCCCAAAATAAATATTCCTATAATTAGTATATTAGTATTAGTATAAGTATTAGTGTTTGAGTAAGATATGGGTAAACTTAAATACCAATCGACCACCACATGTTGCACATGCCGCATCAATTTATGCGCATAGATTACAGCTAATTGCAGAGTCCGAAGGAAAAGCCAGCATCAACAGCAGCGTCGGCCACACTAATTAGTGGGGCCACCACTCGCTGCAGGTGGTGGCTAGACCGATCAATGTGGGTACACTTGCATAAAGATAAATGGGTGGCTCGGGTGTCTAATGGCATAATAATGGTGGGGGATACAAAGTCTCAGGTGGCTTTCGTTGCTATTAGAAGAAAGTTCAGTCGCCTCCTGCAGCCCCGAAATCCATCAGAGAATCTAATTAATGGCGCGCAACAAATTGAATTTTAATTGGGCGTCGAATTTGATTTGGCAGCCGAAAACACTCTGGCCCCGGGGTGCCACAGCCGATAACAAAGTTAAATTGAAATTGAACCTGGCGGCTGCGAAGCAGGATGCTGCCAATGGCCAGGTCCCCGGGCCAAGCTTAATGAATATTTAAACATAATTAAAGTCACTGCTTAAAAAGGCTCCAACAGGGGAAAAAAAGAAAGATGAAGTGGAACTGAAAGCCGCGGGCGCCAGCAGGTGGACACTTTTAAGTCGATTAACTAAATTATGGCTTGAAGAAAAATCTTGATAACATCCGCACGCATTAACATGTTTAAAAATGTTAACGATCCCTCTAAAAAATGTTATTAATGATGTCTAAAAGTATGCAGTGAACTTCGTGAACTTGCCCACTTCAAATATATTGTATACTGTTTGTTAGGCATGATTTCCATGTGTGATGTCCTGGTGCGATTTTGTATATGACGAAAGAACTTTAGGGAAGCATTTTTACGGCGTTTGAAAAATGGCACTTTCATGCGGAACTTAGCCGCCGGCTACTCAATCTCCACCTCAACTTTAAGTCCAGACTCTGGCCTAAAACTCAATCTCAAATCCAACCTCAACCTCAACCTGGCTAATGCGATTTCTCGTTTGGGAAACTTCCACTTTGTTTTATTTTTTAGCACGCCTGCGGGCAAGTTTTTCTTACGGTGGGTATAAATGGGTGCTTTTGCTGGATGGGTGGGTGGATTGGTTGGCTGGTTGGTTGGTTGGTTGGATGTTTGGCTTAGTACTCCATCAAGAACGCGGCTAAGTGACAGGCAACCATTTATCAGCCGGCAAACGTTGTCTAAGTACGCTGCGGTCTCTGTCTGCAGAGCACTTCAAATCGCTACCTCGCTGCTTCATCATCGCTCCCATCCTCCCGCGAATCCTGCAATCCACCCATCCATCCATCTATCCTGGTAGTGGCTCCTCCATCTCCTGCGGGCATCTACAACTGTCAGCTGTCCGATTCGATGAGCTGCGTGGACAGTAAACGTAATACCCCTGGCGAAACCGAATCCCAATCCAGAAAGGCGGAAGTCCAATCCAAAACTTTGCCTCACCTGCCGCAGTTCGCTTGATAAATAAATAAGCAGGACAAGTTGGTTGGCCATCCTGTTTTGAAATGGTTGCATTGCTAATACCCTTACTTGGCTTGGGTGCTCTGGAATACTTTAAAATCATATCAATTATGGCGCTTTCCATTTGAAATTTCCATTTGGATTTAGTTGCCCAGATGGTAGTAGTACGCTTTTCCTTCAGCATTAAGTAAACATTTCCCTCTAAATAAATTTCTAGTCTCCACAATTCTATTTTAGTTTTCTTGCATTCTCAATATGCCAAAATTCCCGATAAATGCCAGTGTAAGCGACCTCGCAACTCCACTGCCGCGGCTTCCGGATTTTGATGGATTTATCAGGTGTGCGGCAGACGGATCCGGCAATCCGTTGGCGTGGGACTTGGATTTATTCACCCCCAGACCCCCAGACGCCCAGTGACATCGCTGCCAAGTAAGGGGCACTCTCAGTAATCAGAAGTCGGAGTTGGAGTCCCTCGATGTTTCCCACTTGCCATTTTCCCCCCATCGTGGCACTACCAAAAATCAACCCAACCACTTGTGGCTGTCCTTGTCAATTCGATTTTCCCTAATATGAGTGGAACAGCAGAGTGATGCAAAAAGTTAAAATGGAAACACAGGGCTGCTGAACAAATGACATTTGAACATTTTGTTGGCACTTTGAGTAACTAGTTCGGCGCAATCGAAAAATAAACTTTCAAATTGCTTCCATAATCGAGCACACCTCGTTTCGGGGGAATTAAATTTGACTTTGATTGAACTTTATTCAAATTCGATTGACCCGACCCGAAGCTGATGGTAATCTGTTCATCAATTTGTAAGATAATGGGATCATGTTTTTTGTTGCAGAACTTAGCTCACAAGAGGGATCTGCATTTGTTGTAAGCCAGCAAATCATTTGAAAAATGTAATTGTGCGTAGTTAACTCAAGTTGTACTGTAACTTCTGTACTAAACTGGCACATCATTTGCAAATTCAAGGAATTTTTAAATTTCACTCTTTAATTGAAATACCGTGTAATGGCTCCTTTTACTAAGCCTTACTAATGGCTTTTCTACAACTTACACGGTGGCCAAGACTGTTGCATCATTTTTTATTCGCATAATTCCAGGTTTTTTTTTATTTTCTCTGGAGTGAGGCACTTGCTCATTTCAATTTCTGCGCCATTTGAGTGCCGTCATTTGTCAATGTTCACCTTTGACTTTCGCAGCCCCCACTCCCCCATTTTCGCCCACTTCCTCCAGGCTCCAGTTTCCCTCATGGGCACCACAATGACCCGACGACAGGCTTTCGCCTCCATTGTGCCGCACAATTTCCATCATCTAATGCGTTATCTTGGGCCAGCAAGTGCCCAATATTCCCTTTTTGGGGTTCCGCCCACGCATTATTTTTGATGGCACAATTTTGAGCATTAGGGTGCTGGAAGCTGGTGAAAACTCAGTGATCTGTGTGCGCTGGCAATCATTAGCCTCAATGTCCTGTCCGCTTTGCGCTCCATTCATGCAACAATTGTTGATTGCCACCCCTGAAAACAGGCGGAATGAAGAACGCCCACCCATCCACCCATCCACCCATCGTTGGTTGCGTGTGAATTATTGTTGGTAATAACGTGGAATTGCCTTGTCAGTCAGCAATCTGCAAGAAATGAAGGCTTCACTTGCTACGCAAAACTCAAGTATTAAGTAGCTGGGGCCATATCGCAAAAATAGTTCCACAAAAGGCGCAATAAAACGAGTTAATTTCCTAGTCAAGTTGCCGAAAACTTGCTACAACAACTTCAAGGAGCTTACTCTAACTCCCTTGCAAATTTAATCAAACACACACATGGGTGGCAGCCAAGGGGGGCGCATATACACAAGAGGTGGTTGGGGGAATGGGGAATGGGGGCATCCTCAACCCAGTTGGCGCTCTAAATAATTCATGTTGGCTACATTCGTTCTGGGTTCGCTTTCTAGCTTGGAGAGCTTTCTGCAACATTTTCCAACTTGTTGTAATACATTCAAATGAGCCTGGGAAAGAGGTTGCAAGGGGGGGCTTACATGGTCGGGGGGAGGGGGAAAGGAAGGGCACAAGTGGGCTGAGTTCTGTGGCAAAGTGGGTGGACTGCTGTCCAACCAACACACATGAGAAAATTCACACGTGCAAGTGAGAAGTATTTAAAACATCAACAATTTCAAAAACATAAGAAAAGTAATTACTTTTAAGTATCACATAAAAATCGCCTTTAAATATTTGTGAATATTATTTAACCATTAAAGCAGTCTTCTATGGTTTTGTGAACATTTGCGTGGTGGGTTTACTTTTACAACTGAATTATAAATCAATTTCGCCGTAATAGAAATTAGTTTCATGTTTCTTATTCACTTCATTTTGGCCCAGCTTAGTTTTCACTACGTTTTGTGGCATCCACGGCGTCATGCCGCTGACTTGAGTGTGCCATTCACTCGACTTTTTTGTTCACGCCACCCGCCGCATAATTTGGCGCACTAAATTTATGTGCGCAATTGTGCTGAGTTGTGCGAAACGCCCCAAAACACCAGCAGGATGTGATGTAGTGTGGTGTGCTCCCCAATTCGCGACCCATCCACATTCGGAATGTACTACATGGCACTGCCTTTGTGCGGGCGAAGTGCGATGCACTGCGCGAAACGAAGCTTGCTGATTCGCAAATTGAATAAATATTTCTCAGGCAGAGTTGGGTACTAGCCAATTACTCATTTCCTTAAGCTACTATTGAAATAATGCAGCAATATATAAGGTATATAAGGTTGAGTTCAGATTGGTACCAGTGAGATGATCATTTCTTTAAGATACTATTGAAATAATATTGAAATATTGCACCAAATAGGCTTACAAGTCATATAAGGTTGAGTTGAGTTTGGTACTAGTGAGATGATCATTTCTTTAAGATACTATTGAAATAATGCGCCAAATAGGCTTACAAGTCATATAAGTTTGAGTTGAGTTTGGTACTAGTCAGATGATCATTTCCTCAAGCTACCATTGGAATAATGCAGCAAATAAGCTTACAAGTCTTATAAGTTTTGTTGCAGTGTACAGCTGCTCACTTTCGTCGAAGGTCCTGCGTGGAGTTCTCCATTTGGCGCCGGTCTACAGTTACATGTATCCCGTGGCTACTGTCGCTGCACCTTCTTTATCCTGCGATTTCGAAGGGTCCTTTGTGTGTTATTATTCAAAATCCAGTCAATAAGGCGAAACGCGATGCTAATTTATTACACCAAATACGCAACGAGATGCTCCACGCGTTTTTATGCAGCGAAATTTTATATTTTTCCCCGGTTTGGGGCTGGCGAGGAGTTACAATTACGACCAGGGAATACCGCTAGCAGTTAACGCACACATATGCAAGTTGTACATACACACTCGTATGTACATATTATTGGAGATAGGGACATATATCCTTGGGACTGTGAGTGCGCTGTCTGCTTTTCAATTTTATCCCTTTTATTGGCTCTGCATTTGTTCCAGCTGCTTAAAATTCATACGCAAATACTTGGTAAAAGTTTGGGGGAATGAAAAAACAGGGGCGGCTGGTGGGGAGCTAAAAGGGGATGGGTGTGGGGTGTGGGTTCTGGTTAAGCAGATTGCAAGGGGGCTCGAATCGTCCTTTTGGTCCATAAAGTCCCCCGTCAACCAGCTGCCAAAAGTTTCCTCGGTGCTTTGTGCAAATTAGTTTATTGGAATTTCTTGTTTTTTTTTATATTTCGTTTCGATTTATTTCCTCTCGAAACGAATTGGAAAAAGGGGGCGGAAAATTTTGGGGGGCAAGCGAGGTGGCATGTGCGTAGAGATTTATAGTTTCCTCGGTTCCATTGTGCATATTACATAGCTTTCAGTGTTTATAGCAGTGACTCGTTTTTTTATAAAATTACTTATTTTGTTTTCCTTTTTTAATTTTTGTTTCTAAAGCTGTTTGCAAATGGTTAAGTGAATCCATATTTTGTAAATGGCTCGTAAAGTTTCGAATTTATTCATAAAAACTGGGAACTTACGCTGTTACTAACCTAATTTTTATGCACAACAGAAAAGGTTGATGTGTGTGTAAAATATGTAAAAAAATGAGTGCCGGTATTTTCAAGATGTTTTTATGCGAAATTTTGCTTAATGCCAAACCGAGTTCACTCTTTTTTTCTCGTAGAACTAAAGGCCACTTTATTTCCCCCCATAACTTGCTAAATTTATAATATTACGTGTTACACACTGTGGGAGCTCCAAAAAGGGAGGGGGCGGGGGGTTGAAATGGGGGCCAAAACACACACAGACTATTAAAATTTTAATGAAAATGATGTCCGTTGGGACGGGTAACAACGTTCTCGCATTGCCAATGAAGATGACTCACCCAAGTCGGAAAAGCGAGGGAAGAGCGGGGGAAAAGCGGGGAAAGGCGGGGGAAAGTGTGCGAAAAGCGGGCGAAAAGCTTGGCTAAGGCTAAGTAATGTAACTGCCAAAGGGGATGGGGTTGGGCGGTGCGGGAAAAGCGAGGAAAATGTGCGTGCAACTGCCATATCAATATCTCAACACACACATGGCGTACATATCCATTCCACACACAGGTGGATTAACATTGAAATTGACTGACACAAACGCAAGGTTCGCTTTTCTCAATTTCTCCTCCGGGCGAATTTGCACGCAATCTAAATCCATTTTAATCCAGTGTTGCAAAATGAACTTGCAGGTCAAAGTGTAAGCTCAGCTACGTACGGTCAAGTCTTAATTTTTGGTATTTTTTTCAAGCTCAAAATGAGTTTTTTTTAAGCCAAATGCCACAACTAAAGTATGTTGTTCAGCTAGCAAAATACCATTAATGGGTATATAACTTCTGAGCTTGACACCAAATGCTAGGAATTTTAATTTATAAAATAAATTTCATTCAAGTGTTTAATACTTACGTGTGTGGTGTGCTTTCCTAAAATTAAAATGAAAAATCAACAATTATTAATGTGTATATATAGTTATTTGGATATAAAACACTTGCAAGTGCCGAGAAATATTTCTCTTCATTTGCATTTCCTAAACGTTTTCCATGTGCCACTTTGTGTGATATTCTTCTGGCATATAGAACTGCTTCGAAAGAGTGTGTGTGTGTGTGTGTGTGTTTGCCCCTGGCAGATGTCAGTACACCCGTTGCAACACACACACACACACAGACGACACCCCTCGACCCCCTTTAAGGGTTGCTTCTCCCCGGTAACTTGATTTTTTGCTCGCGGCACAACGCCAAATCCGTTTAAATTTATGGCGTGTCATTGTTTTGGCATAAAATTAAGTGAGTTCGCTTGGGGTTGGGGTGTGGGTGGGGGTCGGGGTGTTGGAAATCTAGTTAAACATGCACAGACATGCATGCAAATGATTGCAGTTGCCACCCCTCGAAAGGAGGGGGCCACCGAAAATAGAAGACCCAGTTCACATGTTAATGAAATTCAATAAGCGCTGCCTACTTTCGGGCGCCTGTTCATAATGGCCGGTCCTTATGCACTTGAAAAAACTCCAATGACTTACATGTGAGTATATACTGTGGGGTTTCTCACTATTCGGACTTAAAACTATAAGTTGTAAGGTATATTTTGTATGTACGCATTTGCCATACCTGAATACTTAAGCTACACAATAATTCTTTAGAGTGTAGCACCCCGTCCGCTTTCAGCTAGAATCCCCTTTGTTACCTAGACTTCACATCTCTGCCTTTTCCCCTCTCTCACCGCCAGCAATTGTTCATCTTTCCAAGCGCGGCCGCAACATGGAAAATAATTTATAAAATTCATAAGCGCCTTTAATTTATGAGAACATCCTTTTCCCCGCCGCCGCTTCCCCCCTTCTGGCAATCCCCCTGTTGCCCCCAGCAATTCAGTGTAATTTTAATTAAT